CATCTATATATTGTGTTAATAAACTCCTCAGTTCCTGTGTGCTTGTTAGGATTTAACAAATCTATATTGAAGTCACCACATATGAACATTAATTTATGACTTATTGTCAAGTAATTTTCTTCCATCCAGTCATTAAATTTTTCTATGCTGGCTCCAGGTGCTCTATAAATACAGCTTATTACAACATTTTTCTTTTTTTCCATGAGTATTTCTACAGTCACACACTCCAGCAAATTATCCACCGCCCTTGACATTTTCTCCACTTTCTTATAACAAAGGTTTTACCTGCGGTAATGAAAATGTATGAATAGCACCACTGGGAATTGATTGTTTCTCCCTGAATCAGACTAAGAACTGTTTCAGCCGGGTTCACTGAACTCCACCACGCAGCAGCAGCAGCAGGGCAGAGCTCTGACCCACTTATAGTAGCCAGCGCTGGCTTTTTTCACAGATGAAACAATAGAGGTACACAGCCCTGTTGATCCCAAATGAAAACATAACACACTGACACATATTTTTGAAGTACTATACTCAATCAATGGGACTACATTGATTTTGTTACACAAATATAGACATTTTCACCTACACCAAGGGATCACGTCTAAGACATTACAGCTGATGTAGCTAATTGATGTAGCCACTTCTTCCACTGATGTCTGTCCCTCAGCTGCATTCTTCTTTCAACTGCATATCAGTGACAGCCTGCAGCCTCTTTACTATAGATCTCTCTCCTGGAGCAACAGCTGCACTCTAAGTTACTGTACATGGAGGTCAATAGGTCATTCAGCCCTGTTGTATCCCTGCATACTCTCTATAATTGTTTATAAATAAATAAATAAATAATATGCCATCGCTTCTAATTTCCTGCACAGACAGAAAAGCAAAAATCTGGATTCTTGACTGGTATCTGAATATTGGACACAGTTTTTGGTTTTATAAAAATGTCTCGAAAGCCTGAGGGACCACATGTGGTTATGCTAGTATTTTCTGAGGCTTGTGCTTGGTCACTTTGACTCCAGCTAAGAGGATTTTGGCTGTTGCAAAGTGTATTCAATAACCACTGATGCTCTGTAAGCATTATTTCCTTCTCAAAAACTTCTCAACATCTTTGCATTGATTCTTAGCAGTTGAAAAGACACCCATCTTTCAATGCAGAGGTTTGGCAAATAAATCAAAAGAGAACAAACATAATGCATACTGTAT